GCAATGAAATGCAACTCGAGCAGCGCCTCTCCGCACAGCAGGACGAGATCCAGCGCAACGTAGAAACCGTCCGTCGCCAGAGCGAGGAGCTCCGTTCCCTGGTCCAACAACGAGACCACTATCGCTCCGAGCGAGACTTCTACCGCGACCACCTCGGCCGCACAATGTCCCTGAGCGCCTTACCCCCAAGACCCTCTTCTCCACGCTCCGCCCAACCCACCCTCCTGCCTGCATCAGAACCGGGCACCACGACGTCTTGGTCGGGCGCCGATGCTGCCCGATCAGCTTCAGGCACACAGCCCACTTCGGCGGGTCCCGCTCCCCAGGGAAGAATGATTGACTCAGTCCAATCCCAACCTGCTTGGCCTGCAAGTCCACCGTATTCTTCAACGCCCATTGCACCCGCCGGACGGGCGGTTGCTGGTACGCCTTCTGGGTCGCCTTCGGCAGCTGGGGGTCCGCTGCCTCCTCTGCAAGGATCGTGGTCACGTCCTTGACATGAATTTGCCGGCAAAATCAAAAGAAAACTTATTATTTCGTTCTCTCTTGTTCTTTCCTCCCTTCCCCTTGCACTCTTAATCCCTCCCTTATCTCTCTTGTGTGCTACCACTACCAGGAGAGACAAACAAGCGGTCACTGGCATGGCCGCTCGCAGGTGGTCTATACTCCTTTAGTGAGGTGGTCTACTCAAAAAGTGCCTCTTCCTTTAGGCTGGGTGTGTATAACTATCTGCATTTCCTGTCATCAAAAGACTCGTCGGGTCCCGCAAAAGTAAAATCTATACTTTTCTTCTCGCTGTCATTATATTATCCCTGTCTTACTTCCTCACATACTGTCTTTCTTAAATTTTCTCGCTCTTTTTGTGTATGGATTGCACAAGCGGTGATACCTCCATTGGCGATGTATTGAATCATCATTTTTGTTTTAAATTGGAAGATATATTTTGAAAACTGGACATTCAAAGCCATTTAAAGCCCTATGAAAGTTTTCTGCACCCAATTTTCACAAGTGCTGCCTGAACACCTAAATATGCCCCCACCGTCCAGATGTATATCTAAGACAATACTCGGATCCAATGTCTCGGAAAGCTTAGCCTACAATTTACTTTGGGACAGACAATGCTTTGAAGTGATTGGTCAATCCGTGATGGGACCGAGACCGTGATGCAGGCTCAGGTGGCACAGTGTGGCTCATGACATCATAAACCTACATACTACCTATATGTATTCTAAGATTCCTCAATTCATATGCCTGATTCTGGGTGAGATTCGACGGTATGGACAACTATCTATTGCGGGTAACATGTCCGCATGTATTTCTCTAGTTCGGCTTGACCCAAATATCTCCACATTTGGCGTAAGATTCGCACTTCGCGCTTTCCGGCTTAACACCGACGGCGATAGAGGGCTTATATCCGACTTGTAGTATCAAACCTCATTATGTATAGTATTTAAAGTCTGTGATATCCATAGTTACGAGTCAGTTTTGGTACCAAACCCCTTCTCACAGACCAACCAAGCAACTACAGCAGCATGTCTCAACAAACCATCATTCTCATCACAGGTATGCCACAAACTAAAAAGCCAACCCCAGTCCCCAGAACCTAACTCTATCCAGGCGCGAATTCAGGAGTCGGCTACGCAACCACCCAAATTCTCGCCGCAAACCCAAACCACCATGTAATCATGGCCTGCCGCAACCCGAAGAAGGGCCAACAAGCCCTCTCTGAACTCCAAAGCAAAGACCTCAAGGGAACTCTATCTCTCCTCCAGCTAGACGTGGAAGACGATACCTCCATAGCCCAAGCAGTCAGCACTGTATCCGAACAATTCAATCGCCTCGACATCCTGCTTAACAACGCCGGCTCCGCCGCACCTAACAGCAGCGGCCGCGCCAGACTGAACCAGATCTTCTCCACGAACGTGATTGGAGCAACTCTAGTCTCAGAGGCTTTCATCCCCCTCCTCCTCAAATCAGAGAAACCCTATCTGATCCACGTCTCCAGTGGTCTGGGCTCGATGAAACTAGCAACCGATCCTAGCAGTCAAGTTTATGCTGCGCCTTGGGATGAGTATCGCGCAAGTAAGGCGGCGTTGAATATGATAACTGTCCAGATGCACAAGCGACTGCAGAGCCGTGGTGTGCGTGTGTTTGCGTTCTGCCCTGGTCTTGTGAGGTCAAATTTGAGGGGTGAGGATGAGACTGCTGTTAGTGCGCATGGGAGAGCTGGGGATCCATTGGAGGCTGGGAGGGGGATTTTGGGGATTGTACTTGGGGAGAGGGATGGGGAGGCTGGTGGGTTTGTTAATAAGGATGGTCCGTTGCCTTGGTAGATAGTATATTGTTTTGAAGTAGTTGCTGGATACTTCGTAGCTTTGGAAATGTTCATGGTTAGTTAAAGAGTGAGGTCGTTTCCAGTGTAGAAGTGTGTGAACATGTGATTGGTTCCTCAAGTTCCGGTGGAAGTTCCATTCCAGGACTCCGGTGGAAGATGATAATCCACTCACCGCAATTCCCCAGCAGATCAGAGTCTAGATTTGGAATTTGAGACAAAGAACAGCCAATTAGCACAAAGAAAATTCCTCGGATCCTCGAAAATGCGGGGCCCCGAGTTTCCCCACGGATGTCGCCGGTTGCTCATATCCCCTTCATATTAAGGGCGGTCCTCCACAGGACAACGTACAACATAGTCGAGCTAAGAAAACATCTGAAAAGAACATTGAAACAAATAACTCAACAATCATCAAAAGAGTGTATCGAGTGCGGGCGGTCAAAGCTGCTGTACAAAACCGACCTCGGTTCACGTGCCAGTCACAGTCACTCGAGTACTTTTCTGTGTCATCAAGCATCAAGGTAAATCTTTCTCCGGAGTTCCGAAAGAGGAACTGCATATGGAGGTTAAACTAGCGCTAATTCCCTTAGCAGCAGACAGAAGAAACGATCGGAGTCCGTGCCGATGGATCTATCGTCTTCGCTTAGTGGTCTTCTGGCGGCCTTCTCCAATGCCGAGGATGTAGATCGGCTAGAGAGAGGCGGGGATGGTCAAGGTAAGACACAAGACACATGTGCCAAGCATATACCCCCAAGTCTCCGCATAGTCACTGACGTTTTTAGGTCCCTTTGCGCAGTTCGTCGCATCGGGGAGTAAGCCGATATCTGATCAACCACATATGACCTTGACTCAAAATGTGCCCCAGACATATCCATTAGACAGCTATCTCACAACGATAAATGAGCTTCTCTCGCCGCAAACCCCAGATCTTACTCTAGGGGAGCACAATCAGCCATTCGAACTGCAACGAACTTTCGAAACTCGGCTTCCGAATCTCTCGGCAGAAAGTAAAGAGTATCTACAGTTGAAAGGAGCTCTCAGGATAGTTCCCATCGATCTTCGGAATGAGTTGCTTGGGGCTTATATCAAATATGTTCATCCTCTCCTACCTGTCATTGATCTGCAATGGTTTTTATTAAATGTCATGGTCGAGGATGAATCTCAATTTCGGAGTCCGCTTCTTCACCAAGCTGTCATGTTGGCTGGAAGTGCATTTATTGAGCAGGAAACTGCCGTCAAAGCTGGGTTCTCATCGCGGAAAGCATTGCGAAGAACATTATTTGGACGAGCTAAGGTGAGATATTTGGTGAAGATGGAATCCATGGCAACTCAAGACTAATTTCGACTCTATTATCAGCTTCTTTATGAATTTGAGACCGAACCAGACGCATATACCCAGATCCAAGCATTATTGCTTATGATGCAGTGGCATGGAAGTGGAGGCGGCCACAAAGACCCAACATACTGGTTCGATCTCGCCTATTCGACAGCAGAGCGCGTCGGTCTCCTGGCGAGTTTAGAAACAGGTAGTTTTTCTCACAAGCACAGAATTTGGTGGTGTCTCTATGTGCGCGACCGCATCCTCTCCCTCGGCTTCCGTCGACCACTACGAATCCCAAATAGCGATGTTACAATGTCGCTATTGGAATCTACGAGATACTATTCCTCCGAGCCATATCACGAACTTGTGCTGATTATGCTGGGAGAATCGTCCGCCATGCTCAACTGGGAAAATCAAGAGCGAATGATGCTTCTGTTTATCCAAGAAATTAAACTTGCTCATTGTTTGGGCGTCATTATCAATCTTCTTTATCAGGATGCTTGGTCAACATCACAGTCGGGGGATTGTGAATATTCCATGGTGCCCAGGTCAAATGTATCTCAGGCGGTCATAACTGGATGCGAACACCTTCTGAAGACCTGGATTCAAAATCTTCCTGCCCCTGCACAGTATTTTCCCCCATCACTCTTGCACGATTGTCATACAGAGTCTCCGGAGATTGTTCTACTCGTTCACCAGGCTTTCCTATATCTCCTCCATCTCACTGCGATGTCCATACTCTATCAAGCCGCGTCGAGCGGAGGGGATGGTCTCCAAACCACTCTTGTCTCGGAAATGAGAGGATTGACTTTGCAAGTCAATGAGATTCTCAATGAGCTGCATGATTGCAAGATGCTTCATTTTCTCCCCGGAAGCACTGTTACTATATTGATTATTATCCTGGAGGCAAGCCTTCCTGACCTGAAGGTTTCGGATAATATAGTGAGGATGCAGGCCATGTCAAACTTGTATGCTTGCGAGGAAGCGGCTGGGCGTTTACTACAAACATATCCCGCGGCAGAGATTGTTCTTTCACAGGCGCAGAATGCCCGTGGACATCTTTTGGGGTTGATCACAACTTGATACAATTAAAAGCATTTAGTTATTTTAGCGTACATACAGAATGAAACCAATCAAGATACTAATATTATATTCTATTCTTATGCTTTGGGAGGCGTAGGCTAAGCTCGGTTCCCCGCGGCTATTCGAAAGTGCGGGGACCCCAGTCGTATCCCCCAGTCGTATCCCCAGTTGTAACCCCATTTGTGGTCTCCAGTGACACGGGACCTGCAGATTTCGATTTTTATACGGGATTGGATCTGGATAAAGTACTACCTTTCTATACCCATGGAGGAAGAGACCGGTGTGTTGCAAAAGACACTCCGTACATCGCGAGCATGTGACAGATGTCGCCGCCAGAAGCTCAAGGTAGATAGATCCCTTCACGACACCCCTGATATGAAACCATCGTTCTGACGGCGTTCGTATAGTGCGATAGCTCACGTCCTTGTGTTCTCTGTGCTCACGCTGGAAATAAATGCGAGACATCTCCGCGCTCTGCGAAACGGACTCGTAGACAAAATCCAGGGGCCAGAAATTTGCATGTGAATTCTGGAGTACACAAAACAATCGCACCAGCGACACACAAAAATCCTAATTATATCCATGGCACTGGAGGAACTGAGATATCTTATGCCGCAGAGAGCTCAACATTCTATCCAGAACGCTCTCCAAAAGAGCCCCAGTCTGGTGCTAATGCTTCTGCGATTGACTTCGCCAGACGAGTTTTCAATGAGGAAGAAGCTGGCCGGACTCTGACCGGTGCATCAATCCCTGGTGATACAGGAGCTCCTGTGATAGACAACTCATTATGGCATTTAACAGAAGTAGAGCTTCCCCCAGAGGCTGTGATGTTTGCCCTGATCGACGTCTATTTCGACCGAATGCAATGGTTCATCTTGATATTCCACGAGCCCTCGTTCCGACAGACCGCACGCCGGATAATCTCCCAAACCTCGTGGAGACGCCAAGATCTCAGTCCTACCATGGCTGTCCTGGCCGTGGCTATGATTGGCTTGCAATCTGTGCTACCAGATCAGAGATGGCCCGGACACGAATTGTTGCGCGAACATTCCGTTGACGGGCAGAAGTTAATGCACGGTTTAATTGCTGAAATACGACGGAATCTTCTCGATATCTCAATCGACTGCCGAATTGAAGCTGTCCAGGTTTGCCTCTTGGTGTCCTGCTATTATGTTTATCATAGTTCGCCGAGTATTGCTTGGACTGTCTCTGGTATGGGCGTGAGGTCTGCTTATGCCCTTCGTCTTTATACAAAATCGGCCCAGTGTGAGAATCCAGTCGTGGATGAGATTCGCTCTCGCTGTTGGAATCATGCTATTGTCGGCGATACGTTTGCGTCTATCATCTATGGACGGCCTTCTTCTATTGATACTGGACTTGTCGCTTTGCATTCGCTCAGAGATATGGATGACCTAGCCATTGATCCACTTCTGCTGAAAAATGAATGGATATCTGGTGATGGAATGCCAACAACGACAGCCGGGTTTTTCACTATGAAAGGTGAGATCTATAACATCATTCGACACATCCTTTCACGATTTCGTCGTCTCCAATTAAGAAAAGAGACAATCAAAGAGGACCTTCTGGCAATTGCAGAAGCCGCGCAAGACTCAGAGAAGCAATTAGTCTCCTGGCGGAAAAGGGTTCCTCGGCTGTTCGATTTTGAGTTTTGGAGCTCCGACAACCGCCTAGAGCAGTTCCAACAGCAAATCAAAGGGTTACCACATCGCACTAAATACCAAGCAGAAATAATCATCTTGCAGGCAGCAACTCTCCAACTGACATACGATGGAGCTCTGATACAAGCCCATCGACCTTTGCTCGAGCAGAAAATCACCGGTTCTTGCTCGCGCTCGGTGGTAGATGCAATCCACGAGTCATTGAGAGTAGCCACAGCGGCTGCACTGCGAATATCTCGCATCCCAGTTCTCCGTTTCAAGCATCATTTCGCCGAATCCTTCACTTCTCTACAACAATTTACTGCAGGAGTCATTCTTTGCATTCTGCCGACTAGTCAACCATTTACTACAGCCGCTCACGAGGCCAAGGCTGGAATCATGCGAATCATCCATGCTAGCACGGCTTTTGGGCCCCACAATCGTATTGCCAAGCAGACCGCACAGCTTCTGACTGAGTTGCTGAAAGTAACTATCGAGCGAGAAATGTCTGGTGCCCTGAGAGGGGGACTGGAAACAAGTCTTCCTAGGGACATATCTGAGAGGGGTCCCGTTCTGGGTGTACAAGCGCCCTGTATAGACCATACTGGGAGCCATTCGCCATCCGAGCGAGAAGTCTGCCGTGACCACCCTCCACCGTCAACAATTCACGCACTGTCCCATTCGAGACAACCCCCAGACATGGCCCAAGCGATACACGACGAGAGTAAGGTAAACGACCGACCAGTCCAAGCACCCATCGAATCGTCTGAATACCCATCTGCGAATATCTTTGAACAACTTGACGATACATTCGGTGCCTTTGGTGAGCGTGAGTGAAATCGAAGTGCGGACCAATGATCAGAGATTCTAACCAATGTGTTGATAGTCATGTTCAATCTGATACCCGACGACCAAAGTAGTGCTTGGAATTGGGGACGTACGGTCCCTTAGCAGAGAATCAGAACTGTATGAACAGACGGACTCGATCTGATAGCTGGTCTACGGAATTGAGTGCTGTAAGCGCTAGGAGGACTAGTATGGGTGTGAGCAAATGGTTCAACAAGGCCATGAGTAGAAGGAGAAAGGTGGTGAAAATGAGCTGGGAGAAAAGGCGGTCTTGGTTCATAGTGGGGTTCTGTATATGTAGCTCTAGGGAGACTTGGTTGTTACAAATGTTGAAGCACAGTCCTAGTTTTATACTAAATACTATCTCTAGGATATGATATATCACCGGATGAAAGAAAGAGAGTCCCTAATAGTGTATATTAAATATCACGTATTGTAGCAAAAGTTAACTATATCGGTTCGCCTTCTATAGGTACTTGTGTATTCTTTTTTTTTTTTTTTCCTTTACTGTTTCTTTTAGGTATCTGCAAGGAAATAGGTCTGGGTTCTTCTAATCTGCATCATGCACAAACAGATCTAGACCGCATTAAATGTAAGCGGTATGTTGCACTGTTGCACTACGTTGTTTGCTGCTTGTTTGATGTATGGAGATGTAGGCGTTTGCTCAGGCTTTGTTTGTCAGACCTCTAGTTGCCCCTATTTTGCTTGATTCTGTCTCCATAAAGCTACGCAGATAAACTGTGTGGCAATAGGGGAACTCTATCGTTACCACGTCTATCGATCACACCATCTTCTTTCCATATGTAAATTGGGCTTGATATTTACAAGTCTATAGTGAAAACTCGGCCGATGCCCTAAGATCTACCTGTGGACAAGCTACAAGGAGGAAGAAACATTAGGACATGAACTTCACATTACGCAACCATAGCTGAAGAGAGATGCGAGAAAAATAGCAGACAAGAAGAAAACATGGTATGAGACGGAAAGTCAGCCCAGGGACAGAATCCAGAATGTCCATATCAAGATATCAATAAATTAAGCTTCATGAAAATAACAAAAACATTATTTCTGCGCTTGTAGTAGAAAGAAAGAAGATGCCACTGGCACGCGATTCCATTTTAATAGAATGCGCTTAGAGGGCGAAAGCAGCGAGGACACCGGCCATGACGGCACCGAAGCTAGCAGCGTTGCGGCCAGCGCTGTTGAAAACAGGGGAGGAGGCCGAAGGAGAAGCAGAGGCGGTGCCGCTGGGGATAGCGCTGGTGGTGAGACGGATGGAGCTCAGAGGGGTGCTGGAGGGGGGTCCGACGGGGGAGACACCGGTGGCGGTGACCTTGGGGGCGGGGGGTGGTGGCAGCAGCGGTGGTCTCAGTCTCGGGGCAGATGGTGGTGGTGATCTCGATGCTCTCGATGACAGTGGAGGAGGCGGGAGCGGAGGCAGCGGCGGTGGTCTCGGCAGCGCTAGTCTCGGCAGCGGTGGTGGAGCTGGAGCTGGAGCCAGCTGCGGCAGAGATACCGAACTGGGTGGAGTACTGGTACTGGCCGGTACCCTCGACAACGAGGAGGAGACCGTAGTGGGTGACGTCGGCCTCGAGGTCGGAGCCGGGGGTCCACTTGAACTCGCCGCTGTTGGGGATGGACTCAGCGAGAGTCTTGAGGGGAACGACGTTGGTGGAGGGACCGCGCAGGAGGACCAGGGAGATGGGACCAGTGGTGGTGGGGGTCCACTTGATGGTGTAGGTCTTGCCCTCGTGAACGATCTCGTTCAGGCCGGGAGAGGTGATGGCATTGCCGCTGGGGTTCTGGCTGTAGTCCGGAGCAGTGTAGGCAGCAGACAGAGCCACGAGGGCGGAGAAAACGGTGGCGACGGAGAAACGCATGGTGATTTAGTGTCGAGATTGACAAAGAGTGACTGAAGTGGGAAATATAGGAATGACTATCGTTGAAAAACGAAAAAAAGGATTGTGAAGAGGTTTAAGAGAGAAAGAAGGAAGAAAGAGGGGAGGCGAACTACATTTCTAGCTTGGAGACACATCCAGGTGGGTCGAGACTAAACCCCAAGGCCATAGATATCCCCACCTTCATTTCCTCGCCTACATTTTACTTTTTTTAATTTTTATTTTACCTCGTGTGGCTTTCCAAGGTTGAGTTTTAAGGATATTCCTTGTGTAAATACTCCGTATTAGTTCAACTGTTGACCGATCACAATCATCCTATAGGATATAATACTGTATATAGAGTACACGGCTGTCATCCTTTCGTATATGACAGTCTCGTGCTCCAATTATCATCTTGTCCTCGTGGGGCATGCAGGCCGGCTGTGGCTCAGATGTTATTGTAATATACCAGTGTGTTACAGACAGGCACGGGGTTTTAATTGGTGGGCAGTCCGGAAGTTAATTTTATTCCTAATAACGGTTGACCCTTAATGTAGAGCATGTCCCGAGATGTAAGATTAAAAATACCACTTAACTGGGGCCAAGGAGAGAAGAACTTAAATCTAAAGGAATGTAGGCACAGCCCTGGGAGCTAATAATATACTCCGGTACTCCGTACATAGTAAAGACCTCGGGAGTAACTGACATATTTGTTTACCTGTCAAGCCTTTCAAGGAACCTTGGAAAGTTCCAAGGTAACCCCTCAATACCGTGGACCCATAGCACCCTTCCAAGGTTGGCGACCACAAAACCTTAGGTTGGGACCTGATCCGAGAATTATCCATAATTGCCACGGAGCCTCCTGCAGCATCTCGGTTATTATTTATGTTTTACTACTTCGTATGTAAAATTAGATAGATATTATTTTAAGGATTCCCTTTTATTTCTCATTACGCCACCCGTGTTTAGGAAAAAAAAAAAGGATCAAAGTGGTGGGAAATTTGCTTGATTACAACATTGCGCCTTCAAGCCCAGACCCTATGACAGGCGTCGTACAGGTATTGTATTGAAATCCCTCAATGCAGCACAGGGCGCAGTGCCTTGCAGGTGCAGGTACCATGTGTCTTTTCTACACGGGAGAAACGGGATTTCAAACCTAACCTGCATGCAGGGTTTGATTCTGATATTCACTGATATTCACTGATAACCACGATTATCACGACAATCACATCATAACTCCACACCGATAGGCCCGTGCCGTATCAACAATCGCCGATCCCACCGGTTCATCGAGGGGTGTGATGTCCATGGGAAAGATCAACAGCCTATACAGTGATACAATGATATTCAGGAGGTCGGAGTTTAATGTTGGTACAGTTATAGTAACTAAATAATATACGGAGTACAGTGTTGTTTAATCGTAATCGCTCATTTCCCAGAATTTAAGACAGGTAAGAATGAAAAATAAAAGTAAAAATAAAGAATGGGTTTTGTCTCACCCGGTGATTTGCCGTGATTTGCTACGTTCTTTGTGCCTGAATTTAGGGTGGGACTTGTGTCCAGCGCCTTGTCCGCAACTATCGATGTTCAAAGGTTTCTTTATCGGGTCTGAAGGTGGGAATCCCACTACACGAGGGCTATTCATAGGTTCAAGTCCTTCGTTTATTACAAAACAGGTATACCTAGGTATTTTTAGAATTCATCTGAGGCAAAAACAGTAGATCACATGACCTTCAGCCTCATGGCGAAGGTGAGACAGAACTAAATCGAACTAAATCGGAGGCTCGGAACCAAAAAAAAGGAGAAAAGACCGAAGTATCCGGTATAGCTGTATGCTACGCTGCACACTGGATGCAACACAAATCACACACCGCGAGTTATAATTCAACTCGTTTACATGATAATAAGCCGGGTATTCGGACCGCCTCTTCCTAGAGGCTCCTCTAGGCGACGCCATAGGGCTCCATCATTGGCTACATTGGCTGCAAAGTTCGGATCAAAGTCAACTAAACCCCAACTTGGCCTCCAAATAAGCCCAGAACAAGCCCAGTCAACACAACTAGGGAAAGAGTCGCCCGTAGCGGCCCAATCTTTCCGGGGGCCAAACGGACCCAAAACGGACCCAAAATCAAACAGGTCTGCTATGTATCGTCGTAAAGTATGTACCTGTGCGTCTAGCCTTTATTCCTTCCAAGTAACAGTCTTAGTTTGGAGGAATTCATCGTATCCAGACTTTCCTCCGAAGCGACCAAAGCCGCTGCTCTTCCATCCTCCGTGAGGGAGAACAGCCTCGTCGTGTACAGTCAGAGAATTGATATGTACGGCCCTAGAAAGAAAAGAAAAAAAAAGGACAAAAGTTAGCCTCACTCCAATCTCCACCATATGAGGTGATCGTATTCGCAAGTCAAAAACCCACCCTGAATTAATTTGCTTAGCCACCCGCAACCCCCGGAACAGGTTGTTGGTGTACAGAGCCGCAGTGAGACCATATTCGGTATCATTGGCCAGGGCGATCGCTTCATCTTCGGTATCCACCACAAAGAGAGACACGGTCGGACCAAACGACTCGGTCGCGTACATGTCCATCTCCTTGGTGACACCGTCAACGACGATCGGCCGCATACCTGTGTTAACGGACTCGCTTGCATTGGCATCGCCGAATAGCAGCGTAGCGCCGCGAGACACAGCGTCCGCCACTAGCTTCTTGTTCTTAGCAACGGCTGCGGTGTTAACTAGGACTAGCGCGGGCGCATCCTTGCCGAACAACTTCTCAGCTGTCTCAGCAAGCTTCTGACGGAACTCATCTGCAACCGAACGCTGCACGACAATCCGCTCGGTCGACATACAGATTTGACCGGACTGTGTATCGCTTGTCAGTATGTGATTGTCCATGTCTCGATCGAATCATCACTACATACGTGCATGAAGGATCCAATGGCACAGTTCATGGCAGCCTTGTCCAAGTTCGCATCATCCAAAACAATCGCCGACGCCTTGCCACCCAACTCGAGCAGCACAGGCTTGATGTATTTGCCTGCGGTTGAAGCGATGATCGAGCCGACCATCGTGCTACCGGTGAAGTTGATCTTACGCACAGCCTGGTGGGCGATCAGCGCGTTGGTGACGGCCGGGGCGTCGGAGGGCTGGTGGAAGATGACATTCAAACATCCGGCGGGAAGACCAGCCTGACGGAAGATGTCGCCGAGAGCCCAGAAACACTTGGGTGAGAGCTCGGAGCCTTTGAGAACGACAGTGTTTCCAGCCGCGAGAGGGAGCGCAACGGCGCGCGTACCCAGAATGAAAGGGGCATTCCTGCGATTCAATTAAAAAGAGTTCCAAGCCAGCTGATAGATTGCAGTATATGCCACAGATCGGATCCACGAAGCTTACCATGGCGCGATTGACAGAATTACTCCGTACGGCTCCTTGTATACGATGGCCCCCTCGCCCTCACCGCTGACATTCGGCGCAATACCCTCGATCGTGGATATCCGACCTGCGAACTCTTTGATGAAGAGTACACCCATATTGAAAGTGGCTTCTGAGAAAGGTCGACCGGCACCGGTCTCCTCGCGCTGGTACTGGATCAATTCCTCTTTGCGCGACTCCATGATGTCGGCGGCCTTCAACAGAATGTCGCGGCGCGCTTGTGGCTTGGTCTTGCTCCATGCGGGGAAGGCAGCTTGGGCATTGTCGACGGCACGGTTGGCATCGTCGACTGACACGCCGGCGCAATAGCCACTCAGCTCGCCAGTGGCAGGGGCGTGGACTTCGAATTTGATTTCGGTCTCAATGGACTCATTATTGATGATAAGCGGGGTCACCGCCTTGTTCGATTGGGCCATTATGAGTGTTTTGGGAGGAGTTGAAGAAGGATAATACGGGAGGATATCTCTTTAATACAGAAAGGGACGGGTCTCTTTAAATGGAGGGGCTGAGTTGGTTTAATAGGAGCTCTGATCTTAACCAAATAGAGGGGGTGGGGAACAAAGGGGGCAGACTCTTATAGCTCACTGTTCAATTGAAACCGTAGATCGGCTAGTTATGTCCGGGGTATGGGGTCGTTATTCAGCGGCTTAATGGAATTATCTCCGGTCTGTCTGCGGATATAGAATGCAAAAGCTTCCTTCAACTACCTTGAATAACAGCCGAGCTCGGTAGTTGTGGGGGAAGAAAAAGCTGACAAAGCCGGACTCATTCCGAGATGAGATCATTGAGATGAACAAGACGAATTAGATGAACGAAACTAACGAAATGAATGAAATGAATTAGAGATGCCCAGGTACTAATTTCTTTAAAGATCTTTTAAAAATTATTTTCACCCCGTCTATGCTGATCCAAGGTATTTCCAAACCCCTAGACTACCAAAGTCTAGCCCTATCATCCATAATCCCTAATCCCAAGCGCCTTGAAAGATGCAAATCATGACCCGCAAAAATAACACAGGGGGCCCCCTCAATTGGCCCAAATCTTCGTCTCAGTCGCATTGCTGCTTTTGGCCATTTCCGCGAAAGGACACGCCGACCCCCTGGAAGTAGTTGACGCGTCTCCTATCGTCGTCGACGGCGCCATACTATTGATAGAAGGCGCTATAGAAGGTGCCACGCCACTCGAAATACTGGATCGGTCATCCTCGGTCGAACTACCAGAGCTGCTGCCAAGGATCCGCTTGTCGCCCAGGTATCCCTCCTGGTCATCGGCGTCATTGAATAGAGAAATCTCATCCGCGAACTCCTCGCCATCGCTCGAGTGGTACCGAGCGAAGAGATCGTTCTGGATCCAAAGGATCTTGTTGACGGCACGCACGAGCGCGATCTTGCGTCGCAGCGACAGGTGAGGGTGCGATAGCATCGCTTCAATCCAGATGTCTTGGATGTACCCCAGACATACCCCGAGGTGGATGTACTCGATGTTCAATGGTAGCAGGCGTGACTGTCCGCTGTGCATCATGCTGCGTAACAAAACCCCACATTAGCACGTTGCACAAGCACGAAAGCTTGACCCTCCTGGGATGTGGATGTGGGAATGGAAAGGTGGGGGCTTTGTGTGTGAACTTACCCAACCTTGTTCAAGTACCGCCAGAAATCCATTGTGGTCGGGTCTTGGCATAGACGCGTCAGGTACCACCGAAGGAACATCTTGCGTCGCTTGATTTTCGGTGTCTCTTCGTGGAGATACTCCTCTTCGGGCTCAGTCTCGTCGGCTGTTGTTCGTGTGTGGAAGGCCCGAGATGTGATGTCATATTGGAGAAGCTTCTTATATACGAGGTTGACTACTGCCGGGATCAATTGCTTGATGTATTTGTTGCCGGTCAAGAGTGCTTCGATATCGCCTGGGGAAACATTAGTATCTGTGGGGTGATTCTAGGATCGGTTTGTGGTAAGAACTTACTGGAGTTGAAGTCGAGGAAGCTATGGAGGTACTTGATTCGCTCTTCCAGGTTTGTATAGAGCAGCTTCCGGTCGACATGCATCGGGTTAGGACCCGATCCCATACTGCGATCCATGCTTCTAGTGCTGATATCTTCTGGTATGTATAAAATCGCCCTTGGCGAACGGCTGGGGTTTTGTCTGAAAGTGTTGGGAGGAACGAAGTGTGGAAGGGAGATCGGAGATCGAATATAAAAAGAGAAGACAAAACTGGGGAACCTCGTGGTAAGCTGGGGGATGGGGTATTTATACCATGGATGCGCGATGTTCAGATTACTCTGTTCACCGTTCTTCTATATTGTATGCAATTACGAAGTACATTGGGAGCCACCGAACAGTGAAAACACATGCTATCGGGGATCCGCTCTTGGCAATTCTGGAGCTAGACGATAGGTGACTTTTACCCAGAAAAGCGACATTACCCGATTTCATGCAAGGTCCGTAATATCAAGCCGAGATTTTCCTTAAAATACTTTATTTCATCGAGCAAGCAAAGTGCACATGGTCGAATCAGACCACAGAGATGACTCAGTCACTATCCAAACCTTGGAAGTGGAGTGACCATCTAAGCATGTGTGGGCTGATCCCTGTAATCTCCAAATTAGGCAAAAGAAGGAAAAATCGAAATACACATAAGCCATTGACGGCACACGATCCATGGCTACCGGGGCTATCAGGCTCGGTAACCTGAAACAAGCGACTTTGGAAATGTAAAGAGTACTGCAAGCTCAATCCTAACAGGCTGGAGTTTAAACCTCTCTTCGTTTTATATCTAGTATACGATCAGATGGCGTTTTTGGCATGCATGCAGGGCATAAAACACCAAGATCATACATATCAATTCCGCGAACCATTGCCCGTGCCATCAAAACAAATGAAGCATAAATCGGAATGGATAAATCGGCATTTCCATTCCACTTTCGATCACTGGCTACAAACATTCAGGCTCCGCAACGGGCTCAACGGTGTAGCCTGGGACCCGCGATGAAGTGGGTTCCGTTCGGGTCCGACTGGGTTGCGGATCTGGTGATGTTCGGGTGCCTTAGGATGTACTCATAATAGAGTACCCCATACGGAGTACATAGATGTGCGTTAGTCGTCATTTGATCGGAATTTAAGTTTGGATCCAAGATCTTGAGATCAACCAACTTGAATATTAAACATCTATGACAACACAATTGGCCTAGAAAGGCAACCACAACACCCCTGGACAAGAATATCCTTCTAGAAAACACCGACCTGGTGGATGTGTGGGTCTGAAGGAATGCATAGTTCTCAGACGGACTACCAATAGGGGACAATAGGGGACAATAGGGGCAATCGGAGCTAACGGGCAATAGTGTGGAAAAATCAGCAAACACATGCATATCAAGCGAGGTAGACCCTAGTTAAATCTATTAAAACACGAACCGGTGTCGTGTGATGGTATGGCCTGATCGGGAGGGCTAAACGGCTGGTGGGTAATGGCATGATCAATACGGAGTAGGTCTGAGAAAAATTTATTAGAAAGATGAAAATTTTTCACTCAACCAAAGGGGCCGAAAAAAAGCTTGAAGCCCCTCGTATTGAGAATTGATTCTTTTAATTCTCCAAAACGATAGATCAGAGATGATTCCCTTTATCTTCTTATTTCCTTAATCTCGGACGTTTCGAAAAATTGCCGCGGTAGACGATCACTGCCGCCTTAGTGAGGGCTCCTCCTACTTCTTGGGTCTAGAACAGGGCTGATACCCCTCTAGACGCGTATCCATGGATTAATCGGCTCCAGGGCCTTCATACCATGGTTTTGTGATGAAACTTAATCTAATTTGATTTCTGGGGAGATTTGATGGTGACAGCGGCCCCGCGGCTGTTGAAAATACCATCAACCAGTCAAGATGCTCCGAATGGAAATTATGAAACAGGGGCGTTGGAAGAAAGTGCTGATCTTGATCTCCGATGCCTATCAACGGTCACGGTAGATCATTTATGATAACACCGGTTATCCATTTCGGGACAATGAGCCGATATAAGATTATATACTCCATACTCATCACATTCATCCAGATAGCCTCGGATGGCGTAGTGTGTCCACTAAATACATTATGAGATTTCTCAAGTCGTTTTGCTCCGTGCGGCGGCAGCATCATAGAGAGCCTTAATATCTGCCTGCCACTGCTTTACGTCGACTCTTGCCACGCGGCGGTCATACGTAATCAGGCCATTGACCTCACCCTCGACATCAGTAGTCTGCGTCCAGACGCCCCCACTGCATGCAAACAGGCGGACCTGATCCTCGAGTTCATTCAGGAGCAGGTGACTGCGATAATTCCATGCCTCAATGGTAGTGTCGATTTCATATGTTTGGTCGATAGTATTGATGGCTGCCTGGTTGTTCCAGAGATGCTCAATGGATACATTGGTCCCGATCCCGCCAAATTCACCTTGGAACCCAATCCGAGTGGGGTCGTATGGGCTCGAGGGTGTGGAATAGAAGGGAGTGCCGCACTGTGGGTTTGCGTAGTGGTGGTTATCCTAAGACACGTTGATTAGCCACGTGGTTCAGCCACAGGGGAACCTTGAAAGAGTGCATACACTAAAGTCTCCAGCGCCGTGGTCGTCCCAACCAGTCGTCGAGTCCACAAGCCGAGTGGGGTCCAACTGTCTAACCCGCTCGGTCAGCTCGAACTCAGGGTAGTATTCTGTAATCTGGCCCCAAGCTTCGTTGTAAATGACCTATACATAATGGTTTCCGTCAGAATATCTCTTGCTTTCACCCAACAGCCTCACTTACCCAAGTTACAATACTGGGGAAGCTCTTGAACTGGTTAATCAACACATCCAATTGACGAGCAAACTCAGCCTGCTGCTTCTCGTCCGGTAGAATAGTAACCGAGTTGCCGTTTGCATCCTTCTTAGACTGCAGCGGGCGCAGGGAAGGCATGTCTTGAATTACAAGCAGACCTAGCTCGTCACATGCTTGATAGAACAGATCGGTTTCGACTTTGATCTGCATTCCACAGTGTGAGCACAAGGAACCATGGGATATGATGTAGCATGGCGACACTCACATGCTTGCGGACCATGTTGAATCCCAACTTCTTTAGCATCTCCAAATCGTACACCATCGCCTCCTTACTAGGGGGCGTGTATAAACCATCGGGCCAATAACCTTGATCCAAGGTACCGAACATGAAGATGAATTCTCCATTGAGCAAGGGCCGCTCGATTCCGTCAATCTTACCCCGGGAGATTGTGCGGAAGCCAATATAGCTCTCCACTTCATCTTTGCCAAGTTTGACAGTCACGTTGTACAGGTCAGGCGAATCCGGGGACCAGAGCTTGGGCGAAGATACGGTGAATTGGAATGGCTCGTTAGTGGGGCCTTTGTGGGTTGCAACAGTCTTGCCATCTTTGTGGACAGTGACCTCGGCCTGGGTGGATGTCTCCTTGGCGGAGCTGTGTACAGTGATGTTTACTACATGCAGTCAGAATCAAGCAAAGATTTCCACAAATTAATCCCAGACACTTACCTTGACCCTCCATGTTTGCGTCAAGATCGAGTTGGGTAATGTGGTTGGATGGGGCGGCCTCAAGCCAAACAGTTTGCCATATACCACTGCACGGGGTATAAAAGATGTGACTGGGTCTCAGGGTCTGCTTTCCAATGGGGATAACATAGTCGCCACTGTCAGTAGGATCATGTACGAACACAAGTCTATATGCAAAGTCAGCTTTGCAAGCTGGCTGCGTTGTGAACCTGGGATGCTCACAGCTCATTCTGCTGATCAAACTTCAGGTATTCCGTCACGTCTACCGCGAAACGGAAGTATCCGCCACGGTGAAATCCTGCCTTTTGGCCATTGACAAAGACTGTGGCTTCATAGTCTACAGCTCCAAAATTGAGTACTGCCTGCTCACCCTTCCAAGAAGAAGATACTTCGAAGGATGTTGAAAACCAAGAGTACAAGGCCGAATCGGCTTGGATTCCTGCGAATATTTGTTAATTATCTGATGATAAAACACCAAGCAGCGCAAGACCTACCGGACAATCCACTCTCAAGACACGACGGAATCAAAACATCCTGTGCAAGTTCTTGTCCGAAAGGTGGTTGCTGAAGAGCATCGAGGCTTGCAGCACTTTGATACTTCCACACCCCGTTGAGGTTCTTCCATTCAGACCGTTGCAGTAAGGGCCGCGGATACTCGGGCCATGGGTTCGTTCCGACTTTGTCAGTCCATGGTGTTGTCAGGGGAGGCTCTTTAAGAGAGTAACCCGCACTGCGCGCCTTGTTTTGTTGGTGCTTTGTGCCCTCATTGCTAGGCAGAGCTAAACTGGTCGCCGCCAGGCACGACAAGACAAAACTCTGAACTAAATGCATATCGATCGGAGTCACTCAGATCTTCCGACAGAAGTACACGCACACAACAGCGATAGTACTGAAGATCTTCGGAATAAAAGATCACATTCTGGCCATGATTCGGCCAGTCCCTGGATTTAAATACATCGGACCCTACTGCGCGGGACTAACAGACTCATGGCACGGTGCTTCCCTGCATACAACATATCCACTTGGCAGAGACGCCCCCACAAGGGCTAACCCCGCAGCAAGTACACAGGACGCCGAGAAATTTGGATTCACTAAGGATCGCGAGCATTTCGGCCGCTGGCTGGCGTCTGACCACAGGGAGTATCATTCACTGCTTGGCGTTAGTGACAGCGCAGGAGCCAAGAGCAACAGCCAAGAGCTGGCGGGCAGCAACGATGTCGATGTGCACATAGTCAACACATAACCCTTCGCAAAGGGTGAGCTGAATATTGCCTGCCACATGAACTCATATTGTGGGCTCCCAAGACAATGCGGAATTATCAGAATACTATCGACACACAATAATAGTCCCTCCACAGTTTTCACAGCTAAACTCAATGCTCGGCTCTAGAAAGCGACAAATCACGGCAGTGATAGGTATTCCGTGGAGCATTTCTCGCCAGCAAAACACGGGTCACGCGACAGAATGTTCGGTTTGTGCCGACTATGTCCAATACCGCGAAAACTCAACGCCGATCGCAACACACGGGCGACAGCCGATCTGTCTTGTTGCATACATTTCCCGTGCAAGGGAAATCAGGTTGCTTGCTGTCCCATCCGTTAGCCGAGATATGCAACTCATCCAAATATCCAAGCCAAGTCTAAGAATGAAGTCATGTTTACATGGAATGATTCGATCTTGCATTGTTAGTTCACCCAGCAAGGATCGTGTTTCCAGTCCAATCCCTTGCGTCCGGATTGCATGGCACACCATCGTCCCCACACCGAGTAAGATACATATTTGATTAAATGGTCTAGCCACGATCTACTTACTCATCTACGATATCTGCCGAGGTCATTCACTCACTGTTCATAGCTGACCAACATCGCCCTACCCCGCTGTCTCCGACGACGTGGTAGCTTGACGTTGTATCAACTTTCAATTTAAGAATACGAAAGGCCGCCCTGCCCCTCCGAGTCTGGCTTGGCGCGACGATCCCCTCTTCTCGATTGGCGAGTTGTTTATCCGGTTGCTTCCTCCACCGAAGCCTAAGGCTGTGGCTGTGGCTGGTTTTTGGGCTTCGGGGGTCCTCCGCCTCCGTTCTTCCCCGCGTTCTGGGAGCGGGGCTTACGGTGAGTTGAATTGATGTTCCAATCAAATATTCGGAACTTGTATAATGGTGTGATAGAAAGGACAATTCCAGGCTTTTAGGCCAACAAGTCCATTTGTATCTTCTTAGTTTGGGAAAAGCTCCGGTGGGTTGGATCATGTGTCCCTGACCGATATATAGCCTTTCCTTCCTGGTTAAGTATTCATCCTGGTAACCAAGGCTCACAGCTAGTAAGATTAACCTCGCAATTCTCGAGGTAATAACAAAAGCACATAACTACACTTAGTCCTTTCCAATCTCCCATTGTGGAGGAACGGCGTAATTCAATCAGCTGCCGGGATGCTGATCTTGTTGAAAATATAACTGACCTCAAACATAAAATGCCTGAAACCAGTCTCAAATAGTAGGCCGGTTGATCAGTCCCACTAGCCCTGATTCAGAATACATACAGGTGGCAGATCACCAATGAATATCTTTGAAAAGTTGGGAATTCGGCCCGCGAAAAAGAATGTTAGATGTCAGTGTTGCTCCGATACAAAACATGTGAAACAGACCTGGTTATGGCGGCCAGCCTTGAAATATTGTATAGACGTGATGGTCCGATTGCTAAAGGTGGTCGAAAGGAGTCCAATTTGAACCAATATATTTATTGACTTGCATAGAACATACTACTCCGAAGCTTAAGTTACTGTAGTTGACTTGCGCTCTAAGGGTAGGCAAAATAGTTGGCCTGACCGTCGCATGGCCAAGAAGCCATACTAGAGCACCCTATGTTGACAATACCCGACTCCCAACTAGAGATATTGACCGAAGAATTTACCTCGTGCCAAGCTTCCCATCGTGTAAGTGATCAGCTGCGCTATAAATAAGGTTCGATGAGAATTTTAATTCCTAGATCCAATTTCGCGGAATATTTTGATAACATTCCAAAGCAAATAATAAAATGTGAAGATCTTCATATTTGCATTGTAATCTCGGGCCATTTCCGAACATCACACGAATGAATTCGATCCCGTTACCCAAAGTATGGTGAGGGTAGCATTGCATTGATTATAAAGCCTATCCTTATTCTATACTAATATCCCAGCGCCGCATTGACAGCAGCCACATCCCAGTAGAACGGCCTAATTTCCAGTATAAGCCCCTTCTCCAAATCCACAGTGAAGGCCTGACAGAACGGAAAATCCATCTCTTGTCCGGTGGATCGCACCCTCAAGTGAACATTCGATAGCACCACAACACGGTCCGATCCAGGGCGCTCAAAGATCTCAGGGTTCTGCACGTCGACAATGTCAAAGTAGTCCCCCATGCGGGTGCTCCAGTCCTGAATTCCTTGGGGTCCGATGTAGACGCCAGCGTACGGAAGGGCGGGTGTCTGCTCTAGACGGACATCAGGTGCGAGCGTGGCGGCGATGCCGGAAAAGTCACGGGCCTCAGGCGCAGAGGACATGTATGCTCGTTCTGCTTCATAAAAAGCATCGAGAACTGCGCGTGGTGTGTATCCTGGTGTAGATGCCATGTTGCTGGTAGGTGCCTTCTTAGTGTAAGGTGGAGGTGGAGTTCTGGTTTAATGGGACGGTTCAATTTAAGGAGTATGTTGACAGAGGCGAAAGGCTCATCTGGCCTACGGATAGCTAGGCTCTTTATATGCGACTATAGTCTAACGTAATTTACTAAATGCCATGATTGTACTTTGTATACCTCCAGGGCTGCTCAGGTGGATCAGTTGGATTAATAATCCATTCCACAAAGAAGTGCTTACAAATGCTTATCAGGCTGTCTACCTAGGTAGTGTCCATGGTGTTTATCATTTTAGGTAAAGAATTATATCCATTTGAGCCATACCAGTGGTGGTCTAAGACGATACGGCGAGCGGTGGCTTGCCGCTAGAAGTTACAGTGGAAATGATGCCGTTTCTAGAGCTAGAAGCTGTCATTTTTGGCAACGATATGATGTTTGCAGGGTATATGCAACAGTCAGGAAGCAGAGGTGAAAAGATGCTAGACTCATAACCTCTGTAGGTGCTATAGTGAGATTAAAAAGTACATAAGACTACTAATGCTGTATTAGCTGGGATAATCGCTATAGGAGAAGATTTGGAGGCATGGGAAAGAAATATATAAATTGCACAAACAAAAGGATGTGTGCTACTGACTTCAATCTTGTCAACCCACATTTCCAATTCCTCTCTCTATTTCAGAGGGGCAATCTTGTAGAGATGGAATGTTCCGATTTCTAGAAGGCCGCCAGTTTGATCGGCAACGATGGCATCATCTTCTTCATCCCGGTTATTGTTACCTGAGGGTAGATTTTGCTAGGTTTGTGCTTGATCCGCCATGTTAATGAAATATCCATAAATAAAATGCTGAAATGTCCAGTTGAGCTTCTGCTCAGTTGTAAAATCAGGTAAGATATAATGAAAACACTATCATTGTCAAAATGAAGATTTCAATACAAGATCTAGTACTTTGAATTCTCGATGGAAGTTAAAGAACCTTCATTGATTTCGATTAATTTTGATTAATTTCTGATGATTTAGGGGGATAGAAAAGACTTCATAACCTCTCATGGCTACTACTACGGAGGGGGAAAAGAAGAGGTAAGATTATAATCTATCCAATCTAGCAAATACAGGGTATTTATATCCTAGAAAAACCATCCAAAAATGCTCAGTCTGCTAACAAATATGCAGCTATGAGATGATCCAACAACCATAGCCTCAGACCTTTCACCCAGTTGCTCCATCCTATCAGAAACCTGGGTTGAAGGAACGGGGAGTGTAAGGCAGTGTAAGGTATGTCTTACTACAAGCTTCAACTGCCCGAGGAAAGTAGCAGGAGCTTTACGCTATATTAGATGTTAGTGCAACTCGACAGACCGCTTGGTTGCTAGCTCGCTAGCGCACAAAATGGAGGGAGACAACCGCGTTCCATCGCGTTGCGGCGATGCTTTTGGACAGCACGCTTACACTGATGGGGCTAAGCTCACCGCACAAGGCGTGGAGGCGAGAAAAAGGAATAGAAGTTCAAGAGTAGTGGGAAAGGCTATGTTATAGGAAGAGTACGTGCGCCCTCCTTAATATGAAGTCACCCTTGGGCCTTCCACTTTAACCTTAGAAAGATTACTATATGTCTGATTTTGTTCGAACGTTGGTCAAAGGGTCGATGAAGAATTGACGAGTTTTCAAATTCAACCTCTTATGCATTAGGTTATTCAATTTTTGGTTCCTTTGAGTATGCTTATGGTAGAATATGTGTAGTGTAACAGGATGTAGGTCGTAAGACAATCCAATATTCTTCGGGATTTGTAGATGCTTCATTTGTGATCACATGCATCCGGGTCCGTGAGTAGAAAATGGCCCAAGAGCCAAGACATCGCGTAATAGAGAGCTAGAAGATGGCGGCGTACATGCAAAATTGTCTAGCTAAGACATCTGTCTGTGTTTGAAGGGACCTGGGGGCGGCAATTGGGCATTTGCAATTGCCCCGTTGGATATCATCGAGAGAAATACGAAATCTATGGGATGCAATAAAATTCGAACAAGGAAATTCCCCTATTCCCATCAGCATGGTGACTGAACATTTTTATCGGGATTGAATTGATATCGGGATTTGGGTGGAACAATCCGGGAAGCTCTGTATGACCCCGGGATTAGGGCAGATCACCGAAGTTCTGCAACGATAAGGTCCACCTATCATGGCGTGATTCAAACCAAATCAAGCCCTAACAGACCCCGGGATAAGAATAGATAACATATACTTGCTTACATGCAAGTTATCGAACATTCCGGGAACTATCCTCTGGCGTGACACTACATTGAAGCAAACCCCGTGTTGATTTCCCGCGTCTCAGATTTGCGCCTTGATGCCAAACATAACGGCCATTATTCAACAGCTTTAGAGCAGTCCCCGAATCCGAGAGCTTCCGAATCTCATGATGTTGCTCATTTTGTGCTTCGGGGTCTGGGAGATGCAGGTCATCGTTTCAAAGCCAACATACAAGACGCAAGTCTTATAAATTGAGCTTCTTCCCGGGCTCGAGGTAGAGATTTTCATTCTACACAACAGTTTTCAAAGCAAACATTCAAGGAAAGACAACAAGCATCTCAACATGGTTCCCGTTCTCAAGAAATACAAGGCCGCAGCAGTCAATGCTGAGCCTGGCTGGTTCGACCTCCAGGAATCCGTTCGCCGGACAATCCACTGGATCGATGAAGCAGGAAAGGAAGGCTGCAAGCTTATTGCTTTCCCCGAGCTTTGTTAGTATTACAGTTCTAAGTACTGGATACAATGTCCTAACAAATATGAATAGGGATCCCCGGCTACCCCTACTGGGCTTGGAAGGTAACCTACCAGGAGAGCCTGCCTCTGCTGAAGAAGTATCGCGAGAACAGTCTCGCCTCCAACTCGGATGAGATGCGCCGCATCCGTGAAGCAGCCAAAGCCAACAAGATTTGGGTGTCTCTCGGATACTCCGAGCTCGATCTCGCCAGCTTGTATACCACACAGGTTATGATCAGCCCAGCTGGAGATGTCATCAACCACCGTCGCAAGATCAGAGCCACCCACGTTGAGCGCCTTGTTTTCGGTGACGGCACCGGCGATACTACCGAGTCAGTGATGGACACCGAGATTGGCCGCATTGGACACCTGAACTGCTGGGAGAACATGAACCCTTTCCTGAAGGCTTACGCCGCCTCTCTCGGTGAGCAGGTGCACATCGCTGCTTGGCCACTGTACCCCGGAAAGGAGACTCTCAAGTACCCCGACCCATACACCAATGTGGCCGAGGCAAACGCTGATGTATATTACCCCATGACTTTTTTTTTTGCGAGGAGTTGATCTGATTACTGACAAGACTGCTCAGCTCGTTACCCCTGCCTACGCCATAGAGACCGGCTCGTTCACTCTCGCTCCCTGGCAGACAATCACTGCCGAGGGTATCAAACTCAACACCCCTCCTGGAAAGGAGCTTGAGGATCCCAACATCTACAACGGAAACGGCCGTATCTTTGGTCCCGATGGGCAGAACCTTGTTCCTCACCCCGAGAAAGACTTCAACGGTCTTCTTTTCGTTGACGTAAGTGGAGAACGTTTTTGTTTTACCAGAATGTCAAACTAATTGGTTGCCAAATAGATTGACCTCGACGAGATCCATCTGACTAAGTCTTTGGCCGATTTCGGCGGTCACTACATGCGCCCCGACTTGATTCGTCTTCTTGTCGACACCAACCGCAAGGACTTGATTGTTCACGAGGACAGAGTCAACGGCGGTATCGGTTACACCCGGACTATTGACCGAGTCGGACTTTCTGCTCCTTTGGATTCCTCGGCTGCTGAGGCTCAACCCGAGAGCCTGTAGAGATATTTGCTGGACCCTAGCAGATATTTGTATCATAGAAACAGAAATACCAACTTATCCACTCTTTTATCTTGGCAATTGTCATACGATCTTTCATGTATTGTACGTAGCTTCAAGAAAGTGAAGGTCGGAGAGGGTTCTTATATTAACTAGGAAGCGACTTAGGTGTCTGCTTCAGTCTGCCTAACTAACGGTACCCAGTATTATGAATGGGCACCTGGGATACACGCTACTGGGAGAACCCGATCGACGGTAGTTGAAATTTTTCTCTGTTATGACCTAATGGAAATGTGAAGCCGAATTAGTTGATTGAAGTTCAGTCTACATACTTGTTCGCTCAGACCTCGAGGGCCTAGATCTGTGAAACGCGTGGACGCATATTTCGACATCTTAGCATTCTTCACATTGCTGAGGATTCTGTCTTATGTGGACTTGAGGTTACAAATCCAAAGCCCCCAAGACCTTGGTCTAGTTGCAACCATGTGCAGACCCATACTCCCCGACTTGTTGACGGGCCGGCGAACGGACAATGGCTCCTGAACTAGACGGATGTGAGAGTGTAACAGTGAAATTTTCTGGGGTATAATGCGAGTCCTAAATCTGGTTCGTACTATGTCTCAGATACAATGCACTTGTTGCCGGAAACGGAAGTATTGAGGACGACAGGTCTCGACCACCTTGCCTTGGCTATACTTACCACTCCATATTTCCAACACATGAGACAGGATATTAGGCTTTGAATAACTCTTGAATTTTTTTTTCTCTCTAGGGGGGCTTTGATAACTATGCCCAAGGTGGTACGTATGTACAGCAATATACGTACTTAAACCCAAAAGAAAATACCGCAACCTTGTGAAACAACATAGTTTTATCGGTAGAACTCGAACATGCTTAAGTTTAGTCTTACACCAAGACTACGTAGTGTAGATATGCTCAAGCCCAAGCTGGCGTCTAGAAGCTGCCAAGAAATCACATTCCACAAAGGGCGTCGACGATGCCACGTGCTGATCACCATCACATCACGGAATGTGAGATCCTGCTGCAAACAACATTTGAGTTTTTTTTTTCTTTTTCCCCTGAGTTACTGAATATTCAGGGCATAATGTGTCTGGTCTATATTGAAAGTATCCAGTCTCAATGAAAATCAAGTTGAAAATC